TGAATTCACCTTTTTAAAAATTAAAGTCACAGTAAGACTCAAGGGACTGGTCCAAACCTGGTCCTTAGTAAGGATGAACTTCTGAAGGATGGTGAAGAGAGGATGTGTAGAAATAAATAATTTTTTTATCACTTCTAACTTAAAATAGTCCCAAGTTCTTTAGTATGACACTCAAGAGCCTAATCCAAACCTGCACTTATAACCAGAGTGTCACACTACCCAGGTACTTCTTTATAGAGTTTCTATGGCAATGGGTGATGAAAAAATCTATCGAAAATCATACTAAAGGTTTTACAGTATCCTTTTGTAGAAAGACACATAAACTAACAAAAAAGATGCCTACACTGATTCAAGTTTTCAAAATCTACTATAACATCAAAATAGTTCTGAAAAGCGTACTACAAGGCTTAAAGAAACATTACTAGAAATCGTGCTATAACATCAAGAAGACAGTACTAAAAATCACACTATAACCTCAAAAAGACAGTAATATTATAGAAAAGGTACTATAATCTCATAACGACCGCACTAACAAGCGTACTAAGATCTCCAAAAAAGTCTATACTAAAAAACCTGCTACAACCTCAAAGTTCCTGTATACTTTGAAGTCATACTACAACCACCAAGAAGACTAAAATAAAAAAAACCCTACTATAACTTTGAAAAGACTGTATACTATAATCCACATCTTCGGATAGCCTTTATAATGCTTTGAGTGAAGAGAAATGAAGAAGGGTTTTTTCTTCATTCGTATAGGAAGGGGCCCCTTAAGCGTCGCCTCGGTTTTTTTGTGAAGAGGATATGGAAGCGCTGATATCATTCCATAAATTACATGCTACCCAACAAATTCCCCACAATTTTATTGGCCTTTTAAGAGGGCTTTCAAGGCGGGTGGGTTGAAGAGTGCAACACATCTGCGCAGCTATTAAACTGTTTATTTAGACACTATTGTTAAGCGTACTAGATGTATGGTGTAAAAGATAAGATATACTACCACTGTAAAGCCATTTATGACCAAAGTCTTAACAAAAGAATCAAAATTACCTGCTTACACAGTGAACAATCTTACCTATAAAATCATTGCCTAAATCCAGCTTCCAACCTCCCAGACTATACTAATGGCAAACACTAAAAGAATGCAACCAAAGCTTAAAAGTCCATCATTAAAACTTTGATTCAAAACAAAAATTCGAATCGAAAACTTAATTGAAAACAAAAAATCAGATTGTAAAACAACTTTACAACACTCGACAAGTCTTCAAACACATTTCGATTCAAAAAAATCAGACAAAAACACCTTCAAAGCCCTTTGAAATTAGTCACTTTTGTTCAATTAAATCGAAATTCCCCTTGAAGTACGTTTCGAATTGTAAAAAACTTTGTGTTAGGGCATATACAGTTACAGTGAAACCTTCTTAATACGACCGTCAATAATGTGACACCCTTTTTATAATTAGAGCTTTATTAATCGCCTTTTGTAATAGAACTTCTACCAAAAAGTACCTGGGTAGTCTGACACCCTGGTTATAAAATCTTTCAAAAATTTAGAAAACCCCTTCCAAAATCTTTAAAAACCTATAAAGTGTCATGTCCAAATCATTTTTAAATTTAAAAATATCAGAACAAAACTTTTCAAACAAAAACCAATTCAAATAAAGACTTCGGAAGACGTTCCATCAAATTATAAATTCATTTTTCAGCCAAATAAACATAAATTTTAATAACAAAGAGTTCAGAAAAGCGAGAAGAGATTCATTTCAATTTCGTCTGACACTCGTATACAATGTAGGAATGATTAAAAAGTAGCAAAATCTTAATGCTACAATAAATTATAGAAAAATTAATTTCGGCTTTTAATTTTGCTTTATTTTTGTCATAAACATACAGTAAGTTTAAGTTATCATAGATTTTGTCATGGTTAAACGATAAAAAAAGTATTGTCGTTTTTGAATGCGCGAATTAATATAAATAGACGACAAAACTTTTTTACTTCCTATTATGATATCGTTAACTATACCTATTAAACCTCTAGGCTACAACTCAAATATAACACTCGAAAATCCACTTTAAAGACTATTTTTAATATCATTTATTTTTTTAAACCATGCACTTTAAAGCTTATTATAACTATCGGTTTTGAACACTGTGAACCCAAAATTAAATTCCCTCCGGCCAATTAAGATTTAGTAACAATTACGCAACCAGTGGTTAATTTATTCCTCGAGACAAACGAAGACCGCCTTCACAATTCGTAGCGTGCAAGTCGCCTTTTTCGGCATTCAACAAGTACAATGAATAAATGTAATATTATCTGTAGCTTCAAAAATTGAGATTATTTTTGAAAGAATGGCAGAAACTGTGGAACAATTTACTAAAACAGTAAAATTCCTGTATCACGAACTCCTCTACAACAAGATTTCAGTATAATGAGCAACTTTTAAATCGTTCCTAAGAGTACAGAGTGAATTTAAAACTCCTCTCTACCAAAACTCCTTTATAACGAACAAATTTAAGATTCCCGAACAATTCGTTTTACAGGAGTTCCACTGTATAGTGATGGCTACTATTATCGAGCTGTATTGGCACAGGTGGCAACTACGGTTACAGTGAGAAAGAAAAAAACATACAGTTACTGAAAAAGTTGTGTGTTATGCTTAGAATGCAGACCAATTGTTCAAATTTGAATCTCATTATTATTGTTAGAAACTATGAAGCAAAATCCTAAAATCTACCATGTCTAAACCCTATATTATTAACATCAACGCCAGACATCATAACCTTTCTTATTATTATACTTTCACTTAAAAAACTATTTGACTGTGCAAAAAATTTAAAAATTTTGTACTTTCGTTATTAAAAAAGGTACGTTTACAACAGATTTTAAATTTCAAAATTTTTTTATTTACAGTAACCTATATCAATAAGCGAATATTACTAATTAAGCTGTTTCCGCCTACGTCCTGTAGTCTTGAGGAGCGCCTCATCACGACTCGGTAGCACTAAAACCGAATCAACCGAATAGAGCCCTATTTAGAACAGCTACAATGGGATGCTTGAACAGTCGTCGCCAAACCCTCACCACCCTTTTTCACGTCTCATATTAAAATTAAGCTGTAATCTATATCAATAGGTATAACTTCCTACTTAAGCTCTAACCTATACCAATAGGGTTAACTTCCTAACTCAACTATAACAAGAAAAAAACAGATGGCAAATATAATATTATACCTTTTGACTACTTCCTCCTACCTTAATTATGTTACAAACAACAATTAAAATGCTAATTACATTATTAATATATTACAACTATAATGTAATATATAATGAGTAATTTGAAAACAAAAAAGTTAATCATATTGATTATAAATTACTTTGTTTTTGTCAAATACGTAGGTATTTGACGCATGTTAATATCGAAAAGTGAATCCCACAGCAATTAAGATTAATTTATAATTGTTTTTACAATTTTTGAAGGTATTCCCAAGTTGCAAAATGTATTTTTATCTTTAGGTAGTAACTATATAATTCACTCAGTTCACCTTGTAGTCAGCTATAACATATTACAGCAGAAACTACATACCAGTATAACAATTTCTTTCTTAACGAAACTTCTTTATAACGACCAATTTCAACAGCGTATTTAAAACTCCCCTATAACGAACAAACTTAACATCCCCGAGTGAGTTGTTCTACAGGAATTGTACTGTATAATTATTATAATATGGTAGACTCTCGTTATAATCAACAAAACCTTAAAATATTTAACCTATAAAAAAAGCTTCTTATAAACATCATTTATGAACAAACTTCCTATAATAACCTTTCTAACTTCCTACATCAACCTTTATACAGTACAACATCCATACCTACTAACACGAGTATATAGGAATATATACCAATAGGTAACAACAAACCGTTCAATCATCTTCCAAAATAAAAGAGTACAAACAGAATAATATTATATTACTTTTGTGTTTGAAAACGCAGTAAACTCGGACCTTTTTTTAGTAAAAATGATTGATGTGATCGCTCATATGACAGTTCATTTCCGTTTTGGATCAGCCAAATTTAGAGATTCGAAACAGATACTGTCAGATATGGTTTTTGAGGTGTTAGACAGATAACTACGATCGGTTGATAGCTTTTACAACTAACGGTCTATCACAATATCAAAAATAATAAATTTTGAAATGGAAAGCGATCTAGAAGGTAAAGCCTGATCTACCTATAGATATGCTTTATGACAAATTCATGTTTTTAAAAATATAAAAGACTGTTATTGCCATTTTAGGTTTTGTAAAGAAAGTTATTGTTATTTTAGATTTTGTAAAGAAAGTTATTGCCATATTTAGTTCTGTAAAAAAAAGTTCTTGCCATTTTGAGTAAAGAAAGACCTTGACATTTTATGTAAACATATAGTTATTGCCAATTTGGACCCATACTTACACAAAAAGTCATAAAAACCGCTGGTTTTTAGCTAAAATTCCGCAAATTCTTTAGCAAAAAAAAATAGCGGAAAAAATATTTACGTTTTGATCTTCGCTTCGACCGCCACTACTAAAATTTTCCTCAAAATAAAGTCGGTTACTCGACTTCAAGCGAACACTTCCGGCTCTCAAACCCTCGGGGTTTAAGTGGGTTTTTAGAGTTCAAATCATAACAAAAGTACAGAAAAAATACAGAAGGAAACATGTTCTTCTATATTGTAGTGCAAAATAAGAAAATAGCAAAAAGTTAAAAATAAATTTAAAAAATCAAAGAAAATCAAAAAGTAAAACTAGCTGGTTTAAAGCCATTAAACGATAAAACTTTCATTACCACCAATAAACTAATATAAAGGTTTATATAAAAACGAATATTAATGTCTACATGACTAAAATGCAAAATTTAAAACCATTTTTATATAAAAACGTTAGTCAACTCCCATTGAAACAATATTCACTTCGAACCCTTCAAAATCTGTAAAATTATGTACAATAAACAAGGTAGATACTAAAAGTTTAACAAAAATGAATTGGAACATATTCCTTTCCCTTTTTCTTTGATTTCTCCTTCTTTTCAGCATTTTCTTCATTATCTTCGACAAATTCTGGTGCTATAAGTTCATCTTGTTCTGGTCCAAACTCCATTCCATTACGAATCTTTAGCATATGAGTCTGAAAATGATTAGTCAAGATTTAGTTAGGTAATGATTCCTCTAAATAAGATTCTAACTTTTATTGATAGAATAACAAAAAATGTCAGCCTTTTAGATATGTAAGTTTATAAGATTTAAAAACCGCAAAAAAGTTGTAATTTATAAAAAAGTAAAAAAGATATATATATGTTAACCTACATGAACAGCTCGTTTTCTGCCCAATTGTTCAGCCTTCAACAAGAAATCGGAAAACGACATTTTAGGAAATAGATCATGGGCCCAGTTCTCCATTTTCAACATTACATCTTCGAGATCTGCGTACTGAAACAATGAAATTGTTATATTATACTCAACACAGTCCAGCGACACTATTTTAGACATAAAAGAACGGTCGGTAGAAACCCCTCAATAGAGAAGCTTTAAAAGCCTTAAAACTCTAAACGTGTTCTTTACAACAAAATCAACTTTAGTTACAAAACCAAGTATCAAACCGTGAGAATCAAAAAGATTCTATAATAACAAGACATACTGCTACAACACCTAAAAAGAAAACAAAAAACCGAAAATACTTACAGGATTCTTGCCCCCAGTTGGTGGTTTATAACCTTCAAACCGCTTTATCAAATCCCGAATTCCTTTTGGTCCAGTTAAATCTTTTTCTTTGAAATTTAAACGAGTTCCACCTGCCTTCTTTACTTTGGGTTCAACTCGACCTTTTTTCAGTTCACCTTCCTCATCTCCTTCTGCCAATTCGTCCAGAAGATTCGTTACGTCTGCTGAAACATTGTTGTTATATTATGTACACTTTTAAAGTCTTAAAATAGATCATAGATACGAGTTCCGGCTCAAAAACATAACTTATTATAGGTAGACCGAACTTTACAAAAACCTTAAGGAAAAACATAAAATAAAAAAAAACTTCTATTATGCCACATTTTTTACGTCCATAACAACTTTGTAAACTTTAAAACGACATAACATAGATCTAGACACATGAACCACAAGGAAACACTTACTTTTTCTCTTCTTTTCAGGCACTTCTATGGCTTCCTCAACATCCATAAAGTCGTCCTCATCATAACCACCCAAATCGTCATCGTAATCCATCGTATCTGATGTTATTTATCCACTTTTCTATCGAACTCTCTCAACTTTCGCAAAATCAAGGAAAATTCCTTTCAAACGAAAAACAAGAGCCGCCGCGGCTGCGTCCGAAACTTGCCGCGGTATTGCGAGTTGAATTGCGTAATTTATACGATAAAACATGTTTTTCAAGTCAACCCAAATGCAATAATGTTTATCAAAATCAGTTCTGATATTTAAATGTTGCCTTTATTTTTAAAATAAAATATTACAAACAATATTTACAAAAACCCTTTATATAACATTATGTTAGGTTGAGTCGACTTTAGTACACATTTGATAATTTCTTTGGACTAGAGGGTTTTGAAGTGCTGAGACGTTTAAACACGGTCGTATCACAAAAGGTCGCACTCCTTGTCGAAACACTACCTAAAATACAATTTTATTTATCTTTCGTAACTGTTTTCAAAATTTTTTCTATCGGCTCGATTATCTATAATACTTTTGTAATCTTCCGGTCCAAAAGTTCACAGAACCACAAAATTTTAACTATAACTTATGAGTAATAGCCCAAACAATCTACAAAACTAAAAACGCCATGATCCACAGTCCATTTCCTACCCAAACATCAGATATAACAATATACATCAATACTTACATATTGTATAGCCTTGCTAAAATCCTCCCTAGTAATCGTGCTTGCTCCTTTTAAAATGGCTAGACTAGCTGCTCGTCGACACACACAATGTACAGCTTTTACCACATGTCCATTCAGACTTCTGACCAAACTGGCGGCTCTTATCTCCGGATCAAAGTTAAGATCAGCTGTGAACTTTCGCAATATGTACAGTCGTTCCTTTTGAGCAATGTAGGGAATATGTTGGATGTTGTAGAGGAATTCTGAAAAGTAAAATACGTATAGAAAATACTTCATTGTAAAGGCTTGTTTGGGCGGGGTAGACGTTTTTTTTGGCCCTAACTTTAATCTTTTTTCTAAACAATCGCTATTGCATCTAAAACAATATACAGTAAAACCCATGTATAAAAAAATTCAAATCCCTAAGCGGTTCGTTATACAGAAGTCCCATTATACTCTTTTACCGTTCCAAATTTATACTTTAAGAAATTCAGTACGTATTTTAACTTGAAATTTTGCAAAATAACCTTTCTACACCTACTATTAAATTCAGTTTTGTAAAGCGTGCATTCATTCGAAGTTAAGATGATTTTTAGTCCAGTGACATTTCGAACTGACTCCATCAAGTCTTGGAACTTTCCTTTTTGTTCGTACCATTCGTCCACTGTAATTTACGCATTAAATAATTAAAACTACAAAACATTAGGCATTGTATTTTTACTTTATCAAGGTTAATGATTGTTGTTTTATAACAAAATTTAATTTTAAAATGCCAAAAGTGTTAAAAAGCGTACCATAATTTGAGCGATATTCGAAGACCAACTTATCAGCATCGTCGATAATTAATAGGCAAGGCGTGTTGCTTCTAAAATTTTCATTTCTATTATTTATATAAAATTTTATAAAAAGTAAAACTTCTAAAAAAATTACAAAACCCTCCCCCTTCATAAAAAATCGTTTTCATTGATCCCTAACCGATTTTGAAGACCAACACATTTCTCTCACCCCACCCTCGTTTCTTACTGTTACTGCCCTGTCTCATCTCATCCTCCTCTCTTACTTCTACTCCTTCTTTCACCCCCGCCCTCCTTACTAATACCGTCCTTCCTCACCCACCCTCATCCCTTATTACTAACCCTAGTCTTCCCTATTTCACTCCACTCTCCTTCGTACCTACTACCTCTGCCCTTCCTCCCCAAAAGTATCATAATATTGCCATAACCTACAGTGCCTCTTTGAAAGCATTCAGTAATCTCAATTTGTTCGGTTTGACCGTGTACGACTTCCCATGCACATAAACCGTGTGATATTGTTCTTGATAGGTCTTGGATATGCAGTTCATCAGATAAGTGGTACCATTACCACTGGTGCCATGTAGGAAATACGCATTTTTGTCCGTGCCTAGGTCCCGTCGTTCTATAAATTCCCGTAAAATATTGTATTCTGGGTTGTTTCGCCATGAAAACGGTGAATCTTGGTCTGAATCGTAGTAATCATCATCGTCTTTGACTAATGTTGCTAAGCCTTTTAGGGTTACCGATGTTGTTGGTAATGTGGGCTAGAAAAGAAATAGCATTACGTTTAGATTTTTCTGTTCGTTATGTCAACACATGTCAGTAAATTTACGTTAACAACAATTTTCTTTCAATTTTTCTCCAAAAAACCATGTAAATGTTAGAAATATACACTACATTTTATCTTTTCTCCGTAATTATTGACCACAAAATAATAACTTTTCAAAAATTTAGACTTTTTTTCAAATTCAATTCATAAAAAATATCATTCTGTCTAGTTACCATTTGTTTTAACAGCCCAAAATCAAGCCGTTTTCTTTGAATCAACCAGCTCCGATGTTGTAGTACCGATTGGATCAAAACGTTCCATTTTTTATTGACCAAACGAAGATTCAACAAGAATGAGGAGTCGTTTATCGTGGCTATGTCACTAAAAAATTGTGGTGGTTATGTCCCTAAAGACCTTTTATAATTTTTTTATTTTGTTCAATTTAAGCATGATTTTTGGCAATATCTTTGTTTAGAAACCTATATTAACATAGAATATTGCATTAAGACCATCTCGTATTTTAGAAAATCAACCTCAATTTTAATAAACTCTAGTACCGAGCTCATTAACATCTTGTAATTAACAAATTTCGTTAATTTCAAGCTTTTTAATTTTAAAAATTGTTTAAATATAGAGAAATTAGAAACCGTATTTTAATCTGAAACGTTTAGTTTTGCCTCAAAAACAATATATTAACTCACATGACATCCCGACGTATAAGAAATGGAAGGTCATCGAAAGGAAATCCACCATTCATCCGCGGAATCGGGAGTTGGCGGCCCGATTCTACAGATGGTAACCTGATAACAAAAAAGTTAAATTTTTTTAAATTGAAAATAAAAGTGTAAAAAAGCTAGTCTAGGCTCATTTTAGCCCCTTCGACCACAATGTCTCAGATTTTTACACAATTTTCGACCAATAGGGATGAAAACCAAGCAGGGCCACTTTTGAAACTCGAAGCCCAACGTTTAGAGCCCGGCTAGACATTAGGAACGAGCCGAGCCTACCATCGAGCCGGCCTTGACACAAACTTAGATCGTGCCGGGCCTGAAAATCAAGACTTGAGCCCGACAATTTTTCATTTTTTCTGGTTTCAACTTTAGCTCAATGCCAGCCCGATTTCAGAGCCAGGCTAAGCATAGACGGCCTTAGGGGTGAGAAACGGGCCGTCTAGGCCCGGCCCTACGATCGGGCCGGCCTTGAGCTAAAATTGAAACGGGCCGGACTTGAAAATTGGGCCAAGGCACGAAAAAAAATTATAAATTTTTTAAAATTTTTTATTTCAATCCCCGTTGATGTTTTTTGATTTTATTGGATAACATAATACATAAGTGATCTAAAGGAACAATGCAAAGCCAAACTTCCGTTTATTTTTTAAGTTTTAAAATTTTTTAAAACGGGCCGGGCCTAGAAATGTTCTGACCGGGCCGGCCTGAGAGAAAAATGAAAACGGGCCGGGCCTAAAAACTGAGCCCGGCCCTTTTCTCACCCCTAGACGGCTTGTTTCTCACCCATATCGACCAAAAACACAATTTTCTAACCGAACAATGCGCAAAAACGGGTAGACCAACCAAAAATCCATAAATTTCAACAAAATCCATAAAACTCCAAAATTCCTTCCCGTATCAATATAATATTCCCAAATCATCAATATAACTACTGTGAGCAACAGCATTCTCCAAACCAACTACTCCTTCGTATTTTACAGTTTATTCGCAGTCATTCACCGGTGGAAAGACAACAGATTAGGGAGAAAAGGCACGGGTTTTGATATAAAATGACAAAGAATAAAAACGCTTTTCGTTGAGATAAAGACATATCACCTGAATTAGCATATACACATATATTTATAAGCCTAACATTGATTATATATAAACGAGTGGATCCATTAGTTCTTTCGCTTTTTAGTTAAAAAGTATGTGAAAAAGGCTTAGAAATCAGTCATTTTGAGCAAAAAATCGTAAAAAAATTAAAAAACATAAAATTTCAAAAGAAAAATCGGTCAAAAAGTTGGTAGAACATCTCTCCTTAAAAACCCTAGTCTCTTCTTCAACCTTATATTATAATAATAGTCAAAAAGTATTTAAAAAAGCTAGCTTTGGTCCGTTTTAGCTCCTTCGTCCACTATACTTCAATTTCTACAAACTTTTCGACCAAAAACTCAATTTTTTGTCCAAAAAGTGCGAAAAAACGTCTAGATCCACCAAAAAAAACTATCCTAAATTAACTTCGAATTGCACATAAACTGGTTTCGGCAGCTGATACAAGCAGTTAGTTTAATATGCAAATTCAACTCCTGTTAGCTCCAAGAATACATGATTAGATCCTTCTAAAATGACATTCCATCAAATACGGCAAAACAAACAGTCGAAGTTCAATAGAAATGCCATATTACTCTAGCTAGCCCTAGCAAACAAAGTCAGGGTTCTAGTCAAATTTCCTAATTAAGTCGCAAGCCATTTCGTAAAACAGAAACGAGCATCCCGAGTTGGCACCAGCTTTGATCATAGATGGAGCCAAGCCTTTGAAAAGTCCTAGAGAGCCTTCCCGTTTCACCACGCCCATCAGAGATCGCATCATGCCTTTGTGGACCGAGGTTTTGCCAAATCCGCGACGTAGGACTGCTGTTACCTAAAAATAAAATTCTTAAGGATACTGTTACCTAAAAATCAAAAATTTTTTTTCATTTTCAAAAAGCTTGTTGATAACAAGATTTTCATAATTTGTAAATTTATTAACTGAAAAAAAATTTTAATTTGCACGGAGCAATCCCTAAAATTGAAAAAATTGCACCGTGCAAAGAAAAACACTTCACAAAAATCAAAAATCAATACCTATTAATCCTAAAAGCCTTGAAAACCTTAAAAAACCATACCTGTAACCTATGCCTAACCAAATCCAACGGATATAATACTGTTTTAGCCAATGTTCCTGCAGCTGCACCACAAAATAGAGCTCCTGTCGCGTCTAAAACAACATAGTTGCCTTAAAAGTAGAAAGAAGATTAGTAAGAAAGAAAAAACATGTTAATAAGATAATTTCTTATGTAAAAACACATCATTTTAACTAAAGATTACTTTGTTTTTAGCCAAAAAGACATAACTTTGACCCAAAAATTCCGAGAAAAATAGAAAAAAAGAACAAAAACAATAATGAAAAGCCCAATAAAAAAGTCCAAAAACAACTAAAGTACCCCTAAAACACTACAAAACATCAGCCAACTTACCATGCCCAACATATTTATTCCACAGTCGATTAAAAAAGTTGTACCAAGCAAACTGCAGCCCAGTGTAAGGTGCGACCTGTGCCAGCGATGGAACGATGCCTCTGAAAAAGCCAGGTATCTTCTCGGATTTCCAAATCTTCCTGGCCGCATCCCACGTACTGAAATAGACTTTGGGCTCGCCTTGTGCCACCAATCGTGTTCGTATCACATCCAATGGCATGGCAGCAGTCATGGCCGCGCATCCAGCTAGTGCTCCACATAAGAAGTCGTTGGTCTTCTTGTTGTACTTTATACTATCGATTTCGGACACTTTTTGAGTTAGAATCTCGAAGGTTGCAAACTGCATAAGGCCATATACGGCTGATAGGCCTTGGGCTGGTACATGACCTGAAATTTTTAAGTTTAAAATCATTATATACCTAAAAGCTTAAATTTCTTGAAATTTAAATTGATAAAAACAGCAAAATTTAAAATTTTGTAAAACTTAACTAGGTTTATACCCAAAATGCCCAAAAAAGCAAAATTTCGTAAATTTTTTTAAAAATGTTACCTTACCCCCCCCCCCCCCCGCTCTGAAATAAGGAACATTATATTATCTTTAACACCCAAAATTAATAAAATCTGATAAAACTTTAACAAAAATGTCACAGTTGTTGAAGATTTTATCAAAAAAAGTTTATCGTTTAACTAGGTGATAGTCAGTGCTTGACGAACCTAATCGCTGACCTAGACAGATTTATGATTAACAAGGACACGCTCGGTTCTTTCAAATCAATTTGATCTCAAAGTACATTTTAAACTGTTTCTTTGCTTAAAAAATGATTTTATACCTAAATAAAAAGGCTTTTTTTAATAGATGTAAAAGATAAATGTACAATATGCAACTTATTTTACCTTTCCAAAACGCCTTTCCACCTTCTTCTCTCAATATGAGACGTATCGACTGTAACACTGTGTTGTATTTGCCTTTTTGTTGTCCTCGCATCGGTTCTTCTTGAAGCTGAAATATAGTAATATGAATAAAATATATAAACTCATATTTTTGATTTATTTTCTGTGAAAAACGTATTTTACATTAATATGTAACACAGTGAAAATTAAAATGTAACAAAATGATCCCGTTAAGCTTTGAGTTCGGTTAAAATGTCAAAATTTAATTGAACGCAGCCGCCTTTTCGTTATTTTAATGTATGTTAAACCAAGAAAGGCAAAGAATAGTTTTTTTAAAAGGAATACAACATCTTTAAGCTACTATAAAAGTGCTTTTGAATTAATCGGCCAAAACAGAAGATTCAAAGCCAATTTCTGTTTTTAAAAGTATCTAGAAGCTTAATATTAAAATTTCCGACCAAAATAAAATCAAAAATGTCAACAAAAACGTTTTCTATGACGTTTTATACCATCTTTATCATGTATAACATCTCTTTAAGTTAACAAAAGGTTATTCTTCGACTTTTCTTCAATATTTGAGAAGATCTTAAATTCACGTCCTTAATGATAAACTGCCTAAATCTTAACCTAAGAACCAAAAAAATAAATTCAAAATCTTACTTGAAATCGAATCTTCAACACATCCAACGGCTGAATGATGGCCCTTGTCATCAAACCCGAAATAACGCCGGCTTCGCTGTACTCGTACGCCGAGAGTTCGCGCCCATTAATGGGCTCCGGATGCATTCCCACAACCATTGTTTGTTTCGCATTGAGATCACAAAAAGAATGAACCGATTACTATGTGATATCACACTTGAAACAAAAAATTGAAATCACAGACTATGAATGTTATTGAGAGAACATTTGATCTGAAAATTTAATTTCATAATAATGAGTAAAAAACAATGGCTTTATTAATAACAAGTTTTTATTTATAACAAAGCAACACGGCTTGTAAAGCAACTGCAGAATCTCTTATATTAATATAGTGAATTAGAAAGATAAGAGATTTATCGTAATATAGAAGCAAAACATCATAAATCATCTATCAAACATAAAACAAATTGAAAAAGTACTTTGAAACCATCAGAAACAGAAAGTTTTATATTACAGTCGCTTCAAATTCGAAAGAACAAAAAAATCTCTAATTGAATTAAAAAACCTAGACCAAATCCCCAAAAACTTACTTAAAAGTTCACAACAATACAACAAACCCAAACAAAATATTTTATAGCCCTCAAAAACTACCAAGAATTATATTGTCCGTGATTTTAACTGCAAAAACTAGCCGAAAAACCAATTACTACTCAAAACCGTATAGCCAAAGACCTGAAACCATATTTTTCAAATATAAAAAAAATTATTTTTGAAGCAAATCCATCACATTTCCTGTTTACAGAAGCTAATTCTTTCATTTTCTTGCCAAAAATCTTTTGTTTTTCCGAGAAATAAAAAATTATTTCTTGATTTTGGCAAAACTTGTTTTCGTGGTGGGACCAAGTTAATGTTGTAATGCAGTATTGTAAACCCCATTAAAACAATGTTAAATAACATTCTTAGTTAAATATATATAATAAAATAATATGAAAATTAATTTTATTTATATTCTTTTTAGTTCTTTTAGTTTTTCCATTCCCAGGCTTGATTACCATTATCTATGTCATTATACCTCGTACATGTTGCCGTACATGCATTATATGCAAATTTTTACGCCATTTCCGAAATTCGTAGCAAATTTGGTGTAACCATCGGCGAGCGCGCGCCTATCGTCATGGAAACGTGGTATTGTTTGCGCGGTGCGTTGATTGCGCGCTCGGAGGTCGGGCGAGCCGTGTGGAGAGGCCATAGGTAACGCCGCGCCTCAGGGCGGTGAATCATTTTCCATAGGAAAGGGGGGCTTTTCTAGCCAAAAACGCGTTGGTCATTCCGTTTTATGGGTAAAATTCGGGATTTTTTAAATTTTAGGAAGTGGTTTTGATAAAAGTTTGGAGATTGATAAGTGATATAGGGGGGGGGGTAGGATAAAACCAAGGTAGAAAATAGTAGAATAAGACAAAATAACGTGAGGCAGTGCAGGGCATAGAAAGGAAAGGCAAGGAAAGGCAAGGCAAGGCAAGGCAACGAAAGGCAAGGAAAACAGCGTAAGATTAGAGACTGTACAATAGTTCATATTGTTTTAGGCCAACTATAGTACATTTGACAAAAATTTATAGGGCATTCAATATTTTTTTACTTTTCTAACAACTTCTTGATCACAAATTTAAAATTAGACACACATGACTTAAAACACTTATTTTGTTTACAACTCTTAAATAAATAAATGCCAGAGGCACAAAAAACTGATAAGCGACGTCTTCCGGACATGATCTACCCATCTGAATTTTTAATTTCCAAAAAAATCGTAAAAGGGTCTTTTTTATTTCCGTTTCAGCCTCATATTCGTGTGTTAATATTGGGAAGCAATTTGTAGTTAAAAATAATCTTAGTTGGGGTAAAACCGGAGCGCCTGAGGGCCCGAGGGTGGTGGATAGTTAAAATTTTACCTTTTAGACTTCTTTACAAATTTTTAGGACTGGGTGGATCATTTTTCTGTGAAAGGAGAAACAGGGGGTTGAAAGAGCCAGCAGCCAGTGTTTTGAGTAAAGCAAGTTGTGGTAGAACAGAATCAGATGAAGATGAGCTGTGTAGACCTGGCCTGTCCTTGACCTAATCTTAAAACGGGCCATGTTTTAATAAACAAGTTTAAAAAATCCAAAGACAAGTTTTTTGACCGGGCCTACAATTCTTTTGAGCAAGCCCAGCCGGTCTGAAAAAAAATGAAGACGGGCTGGACCTAAACGTTGGGCGCCGGGCATGTGCGAGGCTTCAAAAGTGGGCAGGACTCGGCTCTTTTCTAACTGGGACAAGCTAAGTAAGGGCAGTTTAGAGTAGGGCAGGATAAGATAAATTGCGATGGGGTAAGGTAGGGTGATGTAGCGTATGGTAAAGTCTTTTTTTTAAATTAACAGCTTAGAATCAACTTTTTTTAAAATTTTTTAAGAATGAGCGGGGAGGGAGTGGTAAAATTTTTATTGCGCAGTGCAACAAAATGACATTTTTTATGTTATAATATGTTTTTTTGTTATAAGTTAAAAAGAGCTAAAAAAGACTACTGTGTTTCAAGAGACAGCCAAAGAACAATACATGTTATGTAAACATAGCCGATTTCTGAAGTAAAACTAAAAGAAAGTAATATTTATTTGTGCTTCAGAGATAAATTTTAACTTTTTTATCTCATTTAGCGTTTGTTTGATTTAAAAATGACATTTTTTGATTTTTTATAAAGATGATCCATTAAAATCAAATTTAAAAAAAATTTTTGTATTAAAATTTCAAAATTTTAAGAAATTTAAGGCAAAAACCTACTTTTTAATACCTAAACTTAAATTTTCTAAAACATTTTTCTGTATTTTTTCAAAATTTTTCATTTATAAACCCTCCCTTGACCTAATCAACCCTGCGGGCCAAACCTTTTTTCACATAGTTCGAGTTTGAATAAACTCTGCGGTCGGCCTTTTGTTCAAGTTTATTCGAATTACTCGAATTTAAATAACACACGGTTTAGTCGTGTTTACCTTGGCTCTTCGTCTCAGCGCTTTCGGTTTGTTTGAGGCTATTTGAATACCCATCTAGCTATCTTGTTTTGGGGCTGGAATGCGGGCGATTGGGGAGAATTTTTTGATGTTTTAACAGTTTTTGATTTTTTTTAATGTTGAAAAATATATAATGTTAAGAAGTGGCGGGAAGATTAATTTTTAATTGATTTTTCTAAAATTATGTCAACTATCTCACAGATATTAAACAATAAACTACAGGGTGCATAAAAAGTTCTGTTACAAAACTTTACCGGTCGTTTTCTCTATGGTTGAGCTAGGAGGAATAGCATTTTAAGGTATAATTTTAAAGGAGGGGGGGGGGGGGGGTAAGGTAAGATTGAGAGGAGACAAGACTATCGGATGGTCAAAATCAAAGTTCCTAAAGTTAAAGCTGGCGGCGTCAGCTTCGGTTTTGAATTTTAAATTTTATCATTAATTCCAGCTTTGGAGCCGAAGCCGACTGTAGCTCCTGAACTTCTAGTAATAATATTCAATGTATATGTGACAATTGTAATAGTAGTAAATACAAAAGTTATGGTATGTTCGGAGTAATACTAGAGTAGAGTAGGTGAGGAGAGAGCTTAGAAAGTTGTTAATTTGGGCATGATAACGCCAACATAGTTGTAGTATTAGTGTATAACAAGGTAGGGCAAATAAATGGCTAGGGCAGAGCTAAGTTAGGGCTGTGGAAGGGCCATGTTAAAGGCTCTAGTAGAACTAAATCTTAGGTGAAGTAAGGTTAGGGCTCTACGCTAGGGCTCTGGGCTAGGTCTTTGGGCTAGGGCTCTGGGCTAGGGCTCTGGGCTAGGGCTCTGGGCTAGGGCTCTGGGCTAGGGCTCTGGGCTAGGGCTCTGGGCTAGGGCTCTGGGCTAGGGCTCTGGGCTAGGGCTCTGGGCTAGGGCTCTGGGCTAGGGCTCTGGGCTAGGGCTCTGGGCTAGGGCTCTGGGCTAGGGCTCTGGGCTAGGGCTCTGGGCTAGGGCTCTGGGCTAGGGCTCTGGGCTAGGGCTCTGGGCTAGGGCTCTGGGCTAGGGCTCTGGGCTAGGGCTCTGGGCTAGGGCTCTGGGCTAGGGCTCTGGGCTAGGGCTCTGGGCTAGGGCTCTGGGCTAGGGCTCTGGGCTAGGGCTCTGGGCTAGGGCTCTGGGCTAGGGCTCTGGGCTAGGGCTCTGGGCTAGGGCTCTGGGCTAGGGCTGTGGGCTAGGTCTTTGGGCTAGGGCTGTGGGCTAGGGCTGTGGACTAGGGATGTGGGCTAGGGCTGTGGGCTAGGGTTAAACCTAGGAACAGGGTTTTAAAAAAAAGCTTGCTCAAGACAAAGTAAAACATTATCATGTTATTGTAATTGGTTTTGTCTGTGTCAATGTTGAACCTGTAAACCGCGTTGTCGCGATGACTTTTTTTTATTTGCATTTCCACAGTGACTCATATTGGACTGTTTGGTCAGGGCGAAGGCAAAAGAGGGCGAAGGTCTTAGGTTCTTGTCTCGAGCGTCTTTTTGCATAATTTTTTTGCATTCTTACTGATTTCGATTTGATTTTTTTACAATTTTTGCATTACTTTTACTAGCTTTGTAATTTTTTGGGGTGGGGGAGGACAATTTTTACAAATATTTAGGTATAGCAATCAGTTTTTTAAAATTTTTTCATGTTAAAAACGGTGATAAATGTCATTTTCTTTAATATTTACAAAGATAATGACATTTGTTACCTAAAAAATACAAGTAAAATACGAAAAACTTCATATTTAGCATTATAGTAGCCTTAAAAAGCCTATATTAACTTTTATATAGCCATTTTATCTCTTAAACCACCAAAAAGCATGACAATATATATTTTTTGTTTTTTAAAAATAATTTTTGTGCGATTGCCAAGTAAAGAATTCGATAAAAAAGGACGAGAAATGAGTCATGAAAGTATTTTAATAGCATCTCCAAACTTTTTTATTTGACTTTTCCCGTATGAGGAATCAATATTACGAATGAACAGAGGTTATTAACATATCAATATTTTGTTTTTTTGTTACAATTTATAGTGTAATTGTAAATTGATCTAAAATTATATATTATATAATTATGTTTTATCAACATTACTTTCAAATTTTAATTTTTTTAATTTTAAGTTTGGGTAGGGTATTCAGTGTTTTGCCTAGACGGTCTGGGCGATTTTTGTTTCCATATCTGTTCCGGCTATTTTTGAAGTCCGGTGCAGAATTTTTTTCTACCGGCCGGACGGGTAGCCTTATGGTATCAGGCCACAGGGTAGGACAGGGTAAGGTAACAGAAAAATTTTAATTACTTTCCAATTTATAAGTTTTTAAAATTTATCTTATTGTAGCAAAGATACGATAATACGTGAATTTAAATATTTTCATAATAAGCGCGTTATTAAATTTGTTATTCTATTTTGAATATGTATTTCAAACGGTAGAAAAGCTAATTTATTCATTTGTAGGCATCGTTATGTTGCCTCGAATTCCGGCATTCTTGTTGTCTAGTACGGCGTTTCTATCATTAAGTAAGTTTTATTTGTTTTTAAGTTTTTCGAATTACAGTGTCGCTACAATGTTACAATGTAGCTCTTGTATAACAAACACCTCAATAACAAATTTTCCGTATAACCAACAACTTGTAAATCCTTGACTAACACAACACAGTGCATTTAAAAATCTTTTATATCAAAATTCTTATATTAAGAACATAAATTCCTTTAGGGTGTTTTTTATACAAGCGTTCTACTGTACTGTTATAAAGTTTTTGTTCGATTTTTTGAGAATATTGTTTTAAGACTAAAATCACAATATATTGCAACACACTCTTCTCTTATCATGACTCTTACTTGCTTAAACCTATTCTTTCTGATACTTTGCCTTAGGACATAGTCTAACCAAGCCTACCCAAGTCTTATTCTGGCCATTTCTTTGTTCCATTTTTTTAGAGTTTTTGCTTTAACCTCTACCCCCCTTCTCCTACTTTAGTCTTATTTTTACTCTTGATATATCCTAGTCCTACTTTAACCTAAGGTTTGTCTTATTTTAAATCTAGTTCTACCCCAGCTTTTTTTTTAATTTAAAAGCCTGTATACTATATTGAAAAAAATAAAAACTAAAAACCCATTACTTTCAGTACAATACGTCAGTCCACAAGCCTTGAACGACCCAATCACACAGTATATCGAGGGTCGATTAGGAAATCGTCGTATCTTCTGGTGTCCATCAGGCTATGGTTACCTGGCCTATTGTCCTCAACCCACAGACTGGGACAACTACAATTGGTGCTGTACTTGGCCATATATGGGCTCATGGAAACCATCGTGTTGTCCATTTGCCATACCAACAGGAGCTGTTGTTGCCATCATTATTGGCAGTATCGTGCTTGTTGGAAGTGGGTTTTTGAAGGTTTTTTGAAATTTTGAAATTAAAAAAATTTGAATTTTTTAAAATTTTTAAAATTTTATCGTATTTTATGATATTTCAAACCGTAGTAGCCATCATATACATTAATATTATCATCTGCCATTTCAGCCCTGATCTTCCTCTCCTGTTGGTGCTGCTTCTGTTGTCCGTTGTATAAGCAATTGTACGAGTACGAAGACGAGGAGGAGATTCAGAATCCGAACGTGCCACAACAAAGATTTGCCTAAATTTTGGGGTTTTAAGATGGGGATCCATTAATTCTTTCGCAGTTTTTATCGTTTTGTTAGGGGCCGACACAAAGAACCCGCCATTTTTACAGTAAATTACTGGAAAATTATGGCGGGTTCTTTATGTCGGCACCTATAGTTAGATAAAAGTTTAAAAAATGCGAAAAAATTAATGGATCTACATAAGATTTTGCAAAAAACTGTCAAAATGACTTGATTTTTATTAAAAAATAATTTTTTTATAAAAATTGTCATTATGACATGTTTTTTGGAAAAAGCTGTCATCTTGTCATATTTTATAGAAAAGCTGTTGTAATGACATATTTTCTTTAAAAAATGCATTTTTATGAATTGTTTTATTGAAAAGTAGGTATGACGACATATTTCCTAGAAAAAGTTGTCATGATGACATATTTTCTGGAAAACTTGTCACGATGACGCGTTTTTTAAAAATTTGCATTTTTAAGACTTGAAATATTGAAAGTAGACAAAATGGCATATTTTTTAAGAAAAATGTCATGATAATTACTTTCTATAAAAGCTGTCGCTATTTCTAAACGATCTGTCATCATGACACATTTTTCTAAAAGTTAATGCTATGACAGTTTTTGCAAGGTCTTCCAAGATTTCTAGTACCTCTATTGTAAATTTTTAAATATTTATATTAACTATATCAATTTTGGTCTTCTAGAGAGTTTTCACTTTTTGTAAAGAAATTTTCTTCTATCTTTTTCACTTTATATTTAAAATTTATAAAAACGGTAATTTTTTAAAACAATTTTTATTTTTTATTGAAATTTGGTCGTTTCTCATGACACATTACATTTCACTTAACTTCAGGAATGTCTTTGTATGCTACAGTATATTATGGTATCTTACTATATACGCATTTCAAATTTATATGTACTTTTTTATATTATGTAACTGATATGTTGTTTTACTTTACTTTTAGTTGTGTTAAATAAATTTATAACTACTGTTACTTTTTAATAACTTGTCCTGCCCTGCCCTGCCCTGCCCTGCCCTGCCCTGCCCTGCCCTGCCCTGCCCTGCCCCGACCTGCCCTGCCCCGCCCTGCCCTGCCCCGCCCTGCCCCGCCCCGCCCTGCCCCGCCCTGTCCCGCCCTGCCCCGCCCTGTCCCGCCCTGCCCCGCCCTGCCCTGCCCCGCCCTGCCCCGCCCTGCCCCGGCCTGCCCCGGCCTGCCCCGGCCTGCCCCGCCCTGCCCCGCCCTGCCCCCGCCCTGCCCCGCCCTGCCCTGCCCCGCCCTGCCCCGCCCTGCCCCGCCCTGCCCCGCCCTGCCCTGCCCCGCCCTGCCCTGCCCTGCCCTGCCCTGCCCTGCCTTGCCTTGCCTTGCCCTGCCCTGCCCTGCCCTGCCCTGCCCTGCCTTGCCTTGCCCTGCCCTGCCCTGCCCTGCCCTGCCCCGCCCTGCCCCGCCCTGCTCCGCCCTGCCCTGCCCTGCCCTGCCTTGCCCTGCCCCGCCCTGCCCTGCCCTGCCCTGCCCTGCCCTGCCCTGCCCTGCCCTGCCCTGCCTTGCCTTGCCTTTCCTTTCCCTGCCCTGCCCTGCCCTGCCCTGCCCCGCCCTGCCCCGCCCTGCTCCGCCCTGCCCTGCCCTGCCCTGCCTTGCTTTGCCCTGCCCTGCCCTGCCCTGCCCTGCCCTGCCCTGCCCTGCCCTGCCCTGCCCTGCCCTGCCTTGCCTTGCCTTTCCTTTCCTTTCCTTGCCCTGCCCTGCCCTGCCCTGCCCTGCCCTGCCCTGCCCTGCCCTGTCTTGCCCTGCCCTGCCCTGCCCGTCTTAACCTATTCAACTACCCTTCCTTTCCCTGCCCGATTCTGTTCTACTCTTCCCTACCCTACCCTACGTATCAGACACATCATGTACTATAGTCTTAACCTATTCAACTACTCTTCCTTTCCCTGCCCGATTCTGTTTTACTCTACCCTTTCTTACCTTACCTTGCCTTATCATAAACCGCAGTCTTCCCTACTCAACTACCCTTCTACGCTTCGACCTACCGTGCCAGATTCTATCATATTCTACGCTTTCCGTAGCCTTATCATACCTTTGCCTTAGCCTTACCCTTGCTATAAACTGTTACGAACCTATTAGGCAAGTAAATTCTGTTAAACTACTCGCAATTTACAATTATTAAATGACAAGTTAATAAAAATTACTGCAATTGTAACAATTTCTTGTAAAAACAAGAAGTTGTAATTGGCCGCGTGTAATTGCCTGAAGCAACAATTTTAACGTACTCGAGAGCCAAAGAACAATCTAAAGTTTTTGTCATTTTGAAATACCTTCCGTGATATTACTCTCGACACGCCAGAGACTGTTCACAGATTTGTTGTTGACGCGATACCACGGTTTGGGAAGTACAACATACGAATATTTAGGTTGGCAAGGCACATGTTAGACGGTTTGCTTGTATTTTGTAGCTCGGATATATATATATACATATACATGTATCTTATATATACTGCAACTTATATTGGTTTGTTTTTAAAAGTGTTGTAAGTATGTTTACAGGCTTATATTTATATCTTCCATTACTTATATATACATATACTTTGAAGTGTATATATCTATTATAGTACATCAAATACAAATTTTTTAACCACTAGAGGCTAAAGTCACTGTTAATTACAATATTTTTCGATATGTGTTATGTGTATAACTAACATATAAACAAGATTATCTGTTGTTGACTGAATTACAATACAAGTCATAACGTACTGTAAACATTGTACACAGGAAGTAGAATCAGGTAGATTATTTAAACGGGCAGGGCTGATCTTATGAGAAGGAGAAGAGTAAGGAGGGGAAGAGAGGAGGAGAAGAGTATGGAGGGGTAGGGAGCAGAAGAGAGAGCGGTAAGGGGGAGGGGGTAGGTTTAAAAAAGTTTTTGGTAAATCTTGTCATAACTCAAATTTTTGATAAAAAAACTGTCACAATGACAGATTTCTTATAAGATATGCAATATTATCGCGGTTTTCTTAGAAAATATGTCATTATGACAGATTTATTCTATATTCATATCTTTTATAAACAAGTTTACTCTCTTTTTCAAAGCAAGATATATTACTTGAGACGTGAGGAAAGATGGTGAGGGTCTGGTGAAGACCTTCAGAGCAATCCATTGTAGCTGTTCCCAATTAATCCTCACCCAATTGACCTTGTTTCTCGAGCTACCGAGTCGTGATGAGATGCTCTTCAAGAATTCAAGCCGTAGCCGGGAGCCTGTGTAGTACAAGAAACCATTTTGATATAATACTCGTGCATTATCTTTCTATTTTTCACTCATAGAGCCTTTAAAAAGTATTTTGAAAAATGTTGACCTTACAAGGAAAGTATGCTCAGATTTCGTTTAAAATTTTTTCTATTTAAAGACCATATAAATGTAAAATCTTATACAAAATTCTTAGTTGCAGTTCGCGGCCAGACTTGAGAAAATCATGATCAAAAAATAATGTTTTGAGTTTCCCGCCAAGTCGGCATTGTGTTTCAAGCTTATAACTGCCAATTTTTCAATTTTAAACATTTTGCTGTGATATACTAAGAAAAAACCTCTTAATGATGCTACATTTTTTAATTTTTAAACCTAGATTCTATAAAAAAAAAACTGCTTGAAACACAAAGCCAAAATTGTTAGATTGGTGGAATACTTAAATATTTTAATTTTAAAACTCAAAAGTGCGAGCTAAAATTTTTTGTGTGTGCTATTGATAGTACAATGAGTTCATATAAAAATTTTGAGCTGATTCTAGGGAGGCACGTTGGGTAGTTTGCTTGTTAATTTTAAGTGTATCATAAAAATGTTTATTGTTTTGAATAGACTATTATTGTTTTTTTGCACTACTTTAAACATTTTTTTAAATCTTGGTCTTCGCGGGTATTTCCCTTCCCTCTTTCGTGTAACACTCTACTACACCGTGCAGACTGCTGTATATTGAAACTCCATTATAACAGACAAATTTAAAGTGCCAAGCAATTCGATACATGAGTCCCATTGTAGTACCCTGAAGTTGACTATAGACTAAAATACGGAAATGTAAATAATTTTCCAGCATGCTCACAATGCAAAACCTAACGGACTACGACAGTAATACTGGTACAGTTACTTTGAGTTTTTTACGCCGTAGTGCCTGGTTTCTTCTTTTACTGGAATTCAATGTTGGATTGGCTCAAACTTACCTCAATTTAATGTATTTTAATAAGGTTTGGAACATGCAGACTTATCACAAAAGTTTTAGGCAGACATTTGTAAGTTTTAACTAAGCTACTATAAGAAATACAAGCATGATCTATATTATAAGTGGTACTAATGACTTTAGCCAGGACTGGGTGGGAGGCCACATTTTTTTTTAAATCCACAAGGGCCCGTTCAACTTCTTTCAAAAAACATTTTTGAGAAAAGCTAAGTACAACTTTGTCCCTCCCCCTCACTCCTAGTCCTGACTTTACCCTTAGCCCTAACCGTTAAAATATGTATATGTACATATAATAATTATGCCATTTTCAGTTATACCTCAACCTAATGTTCAACCTCTCAGCACTATGTCATCCAGCAGCTGAATTTATTGAACATTACCTATGGAAAGAATGTTCAAGCATTTACTATTGTAATATCAGACTGTCGATTTTGCTAGCCATGTCATATATTGACTTTTTAAGCGTTTACTTTATGCAGCTCAAGTTTTTCATCCTGGCATTCGAAAGGTTGTACGCTTTTCGACGTAGAAGCGTCTACGAACACTTGGAGAATAGGATTTCTGCCAAAATTATTGGGACTGTTGTAAGTTATATTATACTTTGTAAATTTCACAAAATTTTTTTTTAGGTTTTATCAAGCATAGTTATTGTGACATTCAAAACCATAATGTTTGTTCAATTTGATACGAAAGAGACAATGCATGAACGTTTATATAAAGCTTCTTCGTTGTGGAGGTCACCAACTTTTCTTATCATGTGCTACACACTCTACTATTCGTCACTTATCTTTGCTATTTTGGTATGTTCTACCTTACCTTATTTTAACTCATTTTATCTCATCTTACCCTACATTACCCTACCCTACCTTACTCTACCCTATCCTATCCTACCCTACCCTACCCTACCCTACCCTACCCTACCCTACCCTACCCTACCCTACCCTACCCTACCCTACCCTACCCTACCCTACCTTCCCCTACCCTGCCTTACTTTTTCCTTCCCTACCCTATACTTCCCTATTTACGGTAACTTATCTTGCCATACCCTGCATTTCCCTACTCTATCCTGTTCTGCCATGCTCTACCCTACTCTACCTTACTTTACCCTGCCTTACCCCACCATCCCCTATACAACTTTACCCTGTTTTACCCTAACTTACCTTATTCTACCTTACCTTACTTTACCATAACCTTGCCCTTCACTACCCTACCCTACAATCCCCACCATAACCTACCTTTTATATTTTTTGCTTTTTAAATTTTTATAATAATTTTTTAAATTTTAGGTATTCAAAAACATAGGACGAATCCTAAAGTATTATCGACGAAAAAGCCAGACCTTGACGGAAAGTTTCGAAATAAAGCAAACCGAAAACATCAATAAGATAATGTGGCCTGTTCTGAAAGCTGGGACTATATTAGCGACAACTTTATCTCCAGCTGGCCTTATCATCATACATCAGGCTTTCTGCCGTAGCACAGTATTTTGGAGCAGTTTATATTATACTACAATGAATGTAGGTTTATTTTGTGAGCAGAGCAGGGCAGACTTGTCTCAGGGCTGCGCCGGACCTAATTTTTTGGCTCAGCCCCTTTCAATTTTGTTTTAGCCCGGTTCGGCCTTTGTGGTCAACTTTTCATGCCTATGGCTATCTATACCTATTTTTAATCATTAAAGACAATTTTGTTAGTCACAAAAAACCCCTACTAAAATATAAACCAAATTTCAGCTAAACTACGTCCTCGTAGCCTTATACGCCTTCTTCTCCACAACATATGTCTACTACAACTTTGGTATCTTAGGTAAAACAACTCTGTATAAAGTGGAAGTGCTAAAAGACGTCACAACGGTAACGGCGGAACACTTTAGCACATTGAGAGCACAATGGAAATCACAATAAATCATTTAATTGTTGTAGTTGTGCCATTAGCAAAGTGCATTCAAAATTTTAATTGTCGAATAAATGGGTATTAATTGAAGGGACAGAAAATTGGTTCCAACTAATTATAAGATGATATATCAACTATGTCACGCAAGTGGAAATGAACTTTTTAGAAATACATATACATATGGCATTGTCGTATTTTAAAAATAATGAAAGTTCATTTCCAATAAAAAAAATTTTTTAAAGTTTGAAACTGTACCAAACCTACTCTATCCTTCCCTACCCTATCCTATCAGATCCTATACTTCCAAGCCCTACCTAACAAAAATCAATTTATCATTATAAAAATTCCTCGAAAAACCAAAAATCATGTTTATTGCCTAAAATTGAATGACGACTAAAAAATGTTACCTAAAACTAAAAAATAAAACTTATCACCTAAAAACCAATACTTTTAAAAACTATAAGCTTATGTTTGCAATTTACATTCAGTTTCTTACACTTTCCAAGTATATTTAACGTCAAAAAAATTATCAAAAATTGAAATATTTTCAGTCCAAAGAAATTATTTTTGAAAAACAAAAACCTTACCCAATCATATTTTTGAGCCAAGTCTGAGCATGAATTAATCGAAAAAGAAAATGTTCAACAACTTGATCTGTTTCTCGATGTAAAATACAATTAAATTTATAAATTTAGTAGTAATATTAATTTTACTATTTTAGAAGTTCTATATTTGGATTATTGATTAAAAGCTTTTGATTCCGAGGACTTGAGGATATTTTGAAAAGCAGAAACTTGTGGGACAGTTTATCTTGCCTTCCATACCAATATCAAGAAACTGATCATCTTAAAAATACTTGGAAAAGGCAAGCCATTGAATGTAAATTACAAACGTAAGTTTATATTGTTTGAACGTTTTGTTTTTTGTGTAATAATTAGCATTTTATTGGGTTTTAGGTAATATTTTTTTGGTTGTCATTCAATTTTAGGTAATAAGCATGATTATTTCAGAAATTTTTACATTGATAAGTTGATTTTTGTCAGGTTAACCGTAAGAATTTGATGTGTGGCAGTATTTTAGATAATAAATTTTATTTTTAGGCGAACCCAAAATCCTTCAACAACTTTGTCATCTCTGCATTACTTATCTATATTGTGTTGGATATGTCAATAATGGTTACGTATTGGACTTGGCATGGATAGGAGTTTGAGTTGGGAGTATTGGGAAAGGTTGACAGGGATTCAGAAGCTAAAAAATGAGGCCTGGTAGGTGGACCAAGTTTTGATTTTTTTTGGTTTTTGAAACTAACATGACATGAACCAAGGTGCTTGCTGTTTTAAATCTATTGGTGTTAGTTTTATATTACCTTATATGCGTATGGTTTATGTTGAGCGTGGTGGAGGGATAGATAGCTGTAAGTCGGACAATTGAGGCATTATTACTGCATAATACCTTGAAATAGTTTATGTGCCATAACTTTTTGGATTTGATTTTTTGCTAGTAATTTTAGATATAAATTATGTTTTTATGTAAAAACTCGAAGGCTGTCTAGTTTTATTATTTTGATTATTTATTTTAACTTTTTAGGTACAATTGAGGTATTTAATGAGCTTGGTATGAGATATTAACAATGTTATATATAATAAGTTATAAAATGAATCGCTTTACTCCTATAATGCGTTGCTGGCAATATTCCTGTTCATCGAGCACTACTTTTTAGGCTTTTGAGTGTCTGGTCTCCTTTTGTATCTTGTCCTTTTTGGCCACTCTGTTTAGTTTTGAATTTCCAGTTTTTTCTTTAGCAGCAGCTTTTTTAGCAATCTTCCAGTATTTTTTGTTGAACTTCAGCAATAAACGAGGCCGGCTACTTTTAACGGAAGCCTTCTCGTATATCTTTAAAATTCTGTGTTGATCGGTTCCGGCTAGTCCAATACTCTGGCTTTTGGGTGATGGTGGCCGCAACATTCTTTTGCCCGCCGACCTTGCTACCGGCCGAACGGGCTTATTAAACATGGCTAGCGTGGTCGATGGAGGCTTGGGAAACTTTTGTTGGTGGCATGATATTGCCTTTGCCAGCTGAAACGGCAGGGCGCACGGGCTTTGTTGATGGGGCCATTGTGGTATCTGAAATTAAAATATCAGTGTTACATTAAAGTTATCATAATTTAAAAACGTGTTAATGGTTTTTAACAATACTATGACACTCTGCTATATAGGGAGGTACATTAAATTTATTTATATAGGGATAAAGGTTATATTAAGTAAAACAAGTATAGTAAGGTAAAGTTTTTAATGTATACTTACATTATTTAAATGGAGAAAGCGAAGATGAGCACGAGCTGAAGTTTTGACAGGATGTCAAGTGAGAATGATTTTGACACGATGTGTCCCGATATTTATAAGGGTTTATGTTTTAAGAATTGCTGCCGATACGAGGTATTTGTGTATATACGTAATCTTGGAAGGTTTTTGAAATTTTATCATAAGATTTGAACTAATGCCGGTGGCGCAATTTTTTTCTACCGATAAGACAGGATTTTTCGCCGGAACTTCTTTACCTCTAGTAATTTTTATGTGTTTTAATTTTTTTGTGATATGAATTAACTTTTTAAAACCAAAAAAATATTGGAAAGTGATATTATCTAATCACTCTTTCCAGTAAATCTGAAGAAAATCAGGATTAAAAAATTTTATTTCGAATTTTCAGCCAACTTGGCATTGTGTTTCAAGCTTATAACTTTGTCGTTTTTTGATTTTTAATCAGTTTTCTTTGATATACACTGAAACCTCTGTATAACGAATCGCTAGGGAAATTTAAATTCGTTCGTTATGAAGAGGTTTTGTTATAGAGAGGTTTAAAATGCACTGTGTAATGATAGCCGGAATTCAAAAGTTGTTCGTTATACAGGGGTTTCGCTATATAGAGGTTCCTTATACGGAGTTTCCACTGTACTCGTAGAAAACTTTTAAATGAACCCACACTTTTTAATAAAAACTTGAATATTTAAAATTTTAAAACTCAAAAGCGCTAGCTAAAATTTTTTATGAGTACTATTGGTAGTACAAAGAATTCATAAAAAGATGGGCTGATTCTGAGCGGGACAGGTTGGTTACTTTTCTGGTAAATTGGATGTCTGTTGCTTTATCTACTTATTAACTTTAAAGTTTTAAAGTATATCTTGATCAAACACAAGAATCTCAATCACATCTTAACCAGCTTAGGAATCTCTTGAATGTCATAAGCGTGACGTGATCTTTGTTGTTTGTTTTATCGAAAAACGGATGCAACCTCCGGGCGGTAGTCAATCACCCGCGCTTATGCAATCAAACACGGCATTGAACTTTCAAAGTTGTGCGTGTTTTTTTTTGGATCCCTGAGGTCGGGTGAAGCGCCGAAAAAAAACTCGCGAAGAAGCGACAACTGAAGATGTTAGAGGGGGGAAACGTCAGCTAAACCGGCTTTTTTCAATCCGCTCTTCTCAGAAGGCTTGTTTCTAAAAAAAAACTACAGCGACGATGATGCGCGCGGATCAACGTCAAAAACGTCTTCTGCTCCTTCGGAGCTCTGCAAGGGGGGGGGGAGCTGGATGACGAAATGAAGGGAGGAGGGGTGGATAATTAAAAGCAGGGAGGAGGGGTAAATGGGAAAAAAGAGGGGTAGGCGATTAAAAATGAGGTAAAGGGGAGACAATTAAAAAGATAGAGGTGGGTTAGACGATGAAAGCCTGAGGGAGGGGTAAAGAATTGTAAAAAATAGAGGGGTACGTAACGGAAACGAGAGAGCAGGGGTAGATGACAAAAAGAAGAAAAAGATAAAGGTTTTAATTAATTTTATTTGGGAGAATTATAAGTTATTAAAGAAAAAAGAAAACAAATGAGTTAATAGCTTTGAACTATTAAAATGAAGTTTTTTAAGAGGCTATTAAACAATTATTTTTTTATGAAACGGGTTACTATACCGCTTAGAAAGCTTACAGAAAAGCTACTTTAAGGAGGAGCAACAAGGAAGTTACTAAACCTAAAGCGCTCGGACCTTTTGTAACTTTGTTTTGTTGTTATAGTGAACTCTTATTGTTAGAAACTATATTACAAGAGTTATTGTGGGTTGATATAGATATGAGTTTTGCTGGGTATGGGGTTTTTATAGGTGTAGGTTTTTAAGGTATGGGGTTTCTTTATTTTATGTTTTTGTAGGGGGTGTTTTTTCTAATTTTAAGTTTTGACAATGTTTTTTTGAAAGAAAAGAAGAATCTTTGCTTTTAAATTTGAACACAGTAGACTACTGTAATGGAAAAAGCATTATAAATTTGCGTTTAGTTCTCTATACGGTATGTTCACTAAAGGCATGTATAGGGCCAAAAAGTGTTCAATATTGCCAGAGCAGGTTTTCAAAGGAACTGTTTTCTTTTTTCAATTTTTTTTATCTTTTTTACTCTTTCACGCTTAAAGAAGCTACACATTATATTATCTTGATGGGTTTTACTCGGATGTGTATTGTACGCTTACTTTTTCGATTTTTTTTTGCTTTTGTACTTCTTTTTTTTGGAGATTTTCTTCTTTGGTATTCCCTTTTGGCAATTTTTTTACTTTGGTAGTTTCTTTTGAGATTTCCTTACATTTTTATTCTTTTTTTTTGGTTTGTACTTCAATATATTTATCTTAAAATGTTTTACTTTGGTATTTTCTTTTAAATTTTTTAGTTTAGTACATGTAAACCTCTTTAGTATGATCCTAAATAGTGCACCAAACTCTTTATAACGTTATCTTCTTGACTGCCTTCTGAAATAGAACTCTTATCAAAAAGTACCTGGGTAGTGTGACAACCTGGTTATAAGGACAAGTTTGAACTAGTCCCTTCAGTCTTGAGTGTCATACTAAAGAGATTTGACTCTATATACTTTACACAATTTATTTCAATATCCTCTTTGAAGATGTTTTACTTTGGTTACTTTTTGTGTGATTTTTAACTTTTTATTCTCTTTTTTTACTTTTTTACTTTGATATATACTTT